CTATTAGAATGGTTAAATTTAAAAAGACTGACCATACCAAGTGTTGGCACTCCTAGTGGGAATGCAAAATTGTACAATCACTTTGGAAAATAGCTAATTTCTTAAAAGTTAAACATACACATACCATGTGATCCAGTCATTCCACATCTAGGTATTTTTCTAAAGGAAATGAAACTATATGTCCATACAAAGACATACACAAATGAACATAGCAGCTTTATACATAATAGCCCAAAACTCAAAACACAAATGTCCATCAAAAAATTGTGATATATCCAAGCAATGGGTAACTACTCAGTAACAAAATAGGAAAATGACTCCTTATGCACATAACAATACAGAAAAATATAAAAATAATTATGCTAAGTGAAAGAAGATAAGCAAAAAGAGGGATATATTGCATGATTCCATTTATATAACTTTCTAGAAAATGCAAGCTAATCTATAGAAACAGAGAGATGATCAGTGGTTGCCTAGGGACGGAGTAGGGCATGATGAAACTTTTGGGGGTGATGAAAATGTTCATTATATTGACTGTGGTGATGACTTCACAGGTGTATAGATTTATCAAAACTTAGCAAATTGTACACTTTATGTACGATTTTATCTATTGCACAGTTGACCCTTGAACAACTCGGGGGTTAGGGGCACCCATTCTCTGCACAGTCGAAAATCTTGTGTATAACTTTATAGCCTGCCACAGTATCCACGGTTTTGCATTCAGGGATTCAAGTAACTGCAGCTTGTGTGGTACTGTAGTATTTACTGAAAAAAATTCGTGTATAAGTGGGTCCATGCAGTTCAAACCTGTGTTGTTCAAGGGTCAACTGTACTTCAATAAAATTGTTTTAAAAAAGAATTAACTTGTTTATTCAGATAAAATCTATCTAGATGAACCAAAAAAAAAAAAGGAAAAACAAACAAGTCCAAAAATAAATGAATTTGCAATGCTTGGCTTCTTAAACATCTACAACAAAAGATAATGCTACAGCAGTTTTCATTGTGTATTATGTATGTGTGTTTGTGTGGCAGGGGTGGTGGGTGGGATTGTGTACATGTTCATAACAGGTAAGGTGTAAATAGATGTCCAAGAGCCATGTTTAGCTTGGAATATACCAATAGATTCTGTGTTAAGCATCATCTCATGTAGAACTATGAACATTTAACCCTCCAAAAAGAATATTATAAAATAATGGAACAGAGATCATATTACTATGCAAGTAATTTATAGATAGCCTTATGAAGAAAAATAGCATATTATATGCTTGCACAAATACATATAAAAATAGAAAAAATATGGCATTATACATAAATTATATTCATTATATGAATATAAAATTTATTTTATTTTAGGGACCTGCCATTATAAAATTAAGTTAACTAAGAGACCAAAAAAGCTACAAAAATAAGTGTGTTATGAGATACCTAAAGTATTGTATACACATCAAAAGTAGACTGTTGTTAGAAAAAGGCACCTAAAATCTATGGCTTGGGACAACAGACTTCCAATCAAAAATCAGAATAGCTCATTAATATATTATCTTTGTATAAGGTTTTTTTACAAGCTTTTTTTCTCTTTTTATTCTCCCTGTTCCATTCCAAACTTTTCTGTATCGGTGTGAATGATTAAGTATTAATTCTTGAAAAGCATCTAAACAAGCCTCTAAGTAGATAATTTTAGAATGAAAGTTGTAGTTGAGTCACATTTGTCCAATATCATAAATCAGAAGAGAGTTATTTTCTAAAGGAGTCACAGTTGTCTTAAATCAAGGTCAAAATTATTTTACCCTTAGGATTTCACCACTGATTAGTTTCTTTCTCAATTCAGTAGAAAAACAAGCAAAGGATATGAATAAGCAATTCCCAAGTGGACAATAAACATATGAAAAGACATTCAATCTTACCACTAATCTAAGAAATAGAAATGCATAATAATAAGAAATTAATTTGGAGATGTTTATCAAAATATGAATAGTGATTATCTCAGCGTATTTTGAGTTATTTTAAATTTCTTATTTGGATTTCAATGTACTGACTTTTTTCAACCTGTAGTATTTTCAGAAAAGATAAAGTTATTAAAAAACTGCCTCAGTTATTTGCAGATAAATTATGGACAATGCATCAGAAATCAGAAATCAGAAACAGAAGCAAACAATTTAGTTAATACAGTAAAGGTGGTATTTCAAATAAATGTGAGACAGAAAGATTATCAAATAAGTGGTACTAAGAAAATTAACTAGCTAATAAAGATACATTAAAAAAGTCTGAATCCCTAACTCATTGCTAACTCCAAAATACTAATTCTTGTTGGTACAAAGTTTAACATGTATATGAAACCATTAAGGTACTATAAAATATAAGTGCATTCATTACCAAAATACATCCATTGTTTTAAAGGAAAATAATAATCTGTAGACCAATATTTACAGCATAACTTCATTGATTTAAATCATTGTTTCCATAGTATATGTTTTAATTAAAATTATAAAATGAAAGGATATGCACCCAGTAAGTTATATTCAGCATTATATCATCATCCTCTACCACATGTGCCTGGCACATGGCAGGCACAAAAATATATTAGTTGAATGACTAAATAAATGAACTCATGCATTGTTGGTGGGACTGTAAATTGTGATAATTTTTCTGGAGAGAAGTTTGGCAATATGTATCAAAGAGTAAAATAAGCATGCAACTATTCCAGCACTCCCATTTCTAGGAATTCATCATATGACTAATTTTTACAAGTGCATATAGTAGGTATACAGGGGTAACTTTTTTATAACAGGAGAAAATATGAATGTTAGTGGAGAGATGGTTTGGGAAGTACCTGCCCTACAATAGGAATCTGGTTAAATAAATTAAGGCAAATATTTCCATGGAATATGCATCTATTTTAAAATAAGATGTTGATCATTTACTATGAAAGTATAGTCACAATTAATTGATAAATGAGCAGATTACAAGACATAATACGATGTCACATAGATAAAACAGCATATATAAACAGGCAGGTGTGAATATGTACAAAGAAAATTCTGGAAGGAAATGCATCAAAATGCTAACAATGGTTAACAAATGATTAAGATTGTGTTTTTATTATCATTGGAATTTTCTGTATTGTATTTTTCCTTACAATGCTTACATACTTTGACAACCAGGAATAAACAATAAAAGTAAATTCATTTACAAAATAGAAAATAAAAGTGTTTCCTAACTTTTAAAAAATATGACTAAATGACTAAGCACAAATCCTATAATAAAAAGGTAACATAAGGGTTAATCTAACTTTAATATTTTCCTCACTTGAAATGAATAATTCATCATATTTTATATTTTAATTTGCTACTTGTATTCTATGAGCAGGTTTACAAAGTGAATGTGATTAATTAGGTTATTTTCTACATTAGCATTCCAAATCACCTCTGTGGATTTTTCCCCTTCCATAGAACTACTAAGATATCTTCCAATTAAGTCTTTAAAAGACTATATCTTGTGAATTTTTATTCAAACACAGATAGGTAATTCTTGTCATTCATAAAAATGGGCTAAATATGTTCCTTACCTTTTAATGAAAAGTAAACACTGGTCTTTTTGGTTGTACCAAGGGAGTTGTTCTGTTGCAGAAAAGAATCCTGTAAATAAAAATAACAGATACCTGTTTTTAAACTTCATTTTGCAAAAGTTTATTCATATATTACTGGACTTGTAAATCATACTTTAGTATGGCTAGAATTTTACAGTGTTAGAAGGAAACTGGTGGAAGATGACAATGTAAAGAACACCCTGACAGAGGATGCAGTTTCATCAGCACAGATTCCCCCTCCCGTCCTGCTATTTGTGGAATTGAAAACTGCTGCATGAAAGTATAGAACAAACCATCTGCTTTTAAATAATACTACTTAACATTTGAATGCCCTTTTATTTTATCTATAAGGTTGTTACAATCATTGAGAAGAACTACGTGGCAAATCAGCAGCAAGGATGGGGTCTATTATATGCCAGCTTAAAAAGAAAAATATAGTAAAAATGGTGTAACTGACTCACGGCAACATGGGTTCGCAAACCTTGTAGATGGATATAAACCAGGCTTGCCAAACATCACAGACAGCACTTATTAAAACTGCTACGTGGAATGCAATATGCCTGCTTTGTAGCCCCTCCCCCCTTCGCCAATAAACGACTCCCCCTTTTTCCCCCAGTGTAAAAATACATGCTCATAGAACAATTAGATAAAAGAAAAAGAATTTTAAAAATCATCAATAATCACACTACCCAATGATGACACTTGGAGCATTTTCACCCAATTTTTTTAAAAACAGATTTTTGTTAGGAGGCCCCTGACAAACCAAGCGGGAATTAAGGATGAGCGGATGGGAGAAGAATATTCCTCTTCCCTTGTTAGGAATCATGACTAGTATTTTTACCTCATATCTAAGCTTTTTTTTTTTGTAATTATAAAACTATAAAGATAGAATTTTGAGGGGGACAAAACGTCTTCCAGGGGTGTCTGCCTCAGCAGCCAAGGAGCGTCTGGGAAGGAGGGCGGAGCCTGGAGGGGGAGGTGCGTTTGGTCACTCATTGGGCTGAGAGGTTGTCAATCAAGCTTGCCCAGCAAGTGAGGTGCGAGCTGAGGGCACACTGGGAACTAAATGAACTAGAGATCTGACTGCGAGGGGAGGGGGCTCGAGATGTAAGCAGTGAAGAGATCTCGGGGTCTTGCACTGCGCCATTCGGCTGCGGCACGCTTCAGTCCGCCGCAGCTGTAGCTGGGAGAGGCCTTGCCTTCGCCGCTCTCGCCCAGGTCTCCGCTGCCGCTGCCACCTCCGTTGCGATCTCCTCGGCCCAGCCGCGCCCCGCCCCGCGCTCCTGCTGCCTTCACCGCTGCCAACACCTCAGCCAGAGCCTCCGCCGCCGCCACCCAAGCATCCGTGAGTCATTTTCTGCCCATCTGTGGGCGCGCGGTAGTCACCACCCTAAAAGGTGTGCAGGCTTGCAAAATGGCAGAAGCGGATCCTAACAGGGTCTTGAAACCTGCCGCCCAGGGGGTGGATGAAGAGATGGTGGCTAGCTCGTCTAGCGATTCTGGGGAAGAATCTGACAGCAGCAGCTCTAGCAGCAGCACTAGTTGCAGCAGCAGCAGCAGTGGTAGTGGCAGCAGCAGCAGCAGCAGCAGTAGCTGCAGCCGCTTCTATAGAAAGAAGAGGGTACCTGGGCCTTCCAGAAGTGCGCGGCGGGCTCCGTCGGGTAGAAGTTTCGTGGATCAGCTGCCTCGGGCAGTTAGAAATCGTGTGCAGGCGCTCAGAAATATTCAAGATGAATGTGACAAGGTAGACGCCCTGTTCTTAAAGGCAATTCACGATCTCGAACGAAAATATGCCGAACTCAATAGGCCTCTGTATGATCGGCGATTTCGAATCATCAATGCAGAATATGAGCCTACAGAAGAAGAATGTGAATGGAATTCGGAGGATGAGGTGTTCAGCAGTGATGAGGAGGTGCAGGAAGAAGGCCCTAGTGAGATGCCTGCCTTAGAGGGTGAGGAAGAAGAGGATGACCCGAAAGCAAAACCTGAAGTCAAGGCTGAAGAAAATGCAGCTCCGAAAGAAAATCCCGAGGCAAAGGCTGAAGAAAAAGCAGAGTCTAAAGATGCTCTGGAGGCCAAGACTGAAGTAAAAGAATATCCGAAAGAATCCCCCCAGGCAAAGGCAGAAGATAAAGAGCAGCCTAAAGTAACAGAGGCTAAGGCAAGGGCTCCAGGAAAAGAGGCTCCTAAAAGAGTTTCTGAGGTCTGGCCTAAAGAAAGAGCTCTTAAAAGAGCTCGCAAGGGAAAGCCTAAAAGAGAAGATCCTAAAGGCATTCCCGACTATTGGCTGACTGTCTTAAAGAATGTTGACAAGCTGGGGCCCATGATTCAGAAGTATGATGAGCCCATTCTGAAGTTCCTGTCCGATGTTAGCCTGAAGTTCTCAAAACCTGGCCGGCCTATAAGTTACACATTTGAATTTTGCTTTCTACCAAATCCATACTTCAAAAATGAGGTGCTGACCAAGACATATATAATAAAGTCAAAGCCAGATCACAATGATCCCTTCTTCTCTTGGGGCTGGGAAATCCAAGATTGCAAAGGCTGTAAGATAGATTGGAGAAGAGCAAAGGATGTTACAGTGGCAACCACCCGGAGTCACACAACTGCTACTGGAGAAGTTGAAACCCAGCCAAGAGTGGTTCCTAATGCATCATTCTTCAATTTCTTTAGCCCTCCTGAGATTCCTACAATTGGAAAGCTTGAACCACGAGAAGATGCTATCCTTGATGAGGACTTTGAAATTGGTCAAATTTTACATGATAATGTCATCCTGAAATCAATCTATTACTATACAGGAGAAGTCAATGGTAACTATGATGTTGGTAAAGATTATAGAAACAGGAAATATCGAAAATAAAATAGAGGCTGCATGAAAGAATTTTCAAGAATCTCAAATTTCAAGCAGAAGTGAAGGTTTATATAGTCTTGGGAAAACAACAACAACAACAACAACAACCTGTCCTGTAACCTCAGCACTAGTATTCCTCACAGTCTTGAGTTTTCGTACTTTCTTGGTAGCCTAAAATATTGTCTTAAATTGTCTAAGTATCAGTTTATTCTATCTAGCCTGTTGTAGTGTAATATTCTTCAAAATATGTAAACTGTTGTCAATTATCTAAAGCATGTTAGTTTGGTGCTACAAAGTTTTGATTTTTGTGAAGTCCTTTTGTCATGTTCCTATTAGAATGTAGCTGTGAAAACTGTCAGAATTGTTTAACTGAGGCAAATATTTGCTTGAAAAAAAAAGTTCCTGAAGCATCAATGCAAATTTTTTTTTCTTTTTCCAGCCCAGAAGACTAAGGGTTTGAATCTGCTTGTACTAGCTGTGCCTTCATTACTTTGCTATAGAAATACAGTATTATACTAACTAAAACAGTGCATTGTGAAATTTGACTGCTTGAAAAAACTTAGCATACATTTAATAATGTCCATCAAGACCATATATGATACGACTGTGAGCTTGTTAATGTGCCATAGTGGTTTATAAATTTAAGCATAATGAAGTTATTGTTTACCACTGAGGTGTTAATGTAACATAGTATTTTTAAAAAGTTTGCTCATCTTATCCTGCGTAACTGTAAACTAAAGGTACTAACCACATTTTCTTTGTAATATGTTTTACTTTGCCTTTCACTGGAAATGATCACTTTACATCATTGGTATTTTTTTCATGTTCTTCTATTACAATCTAAAATAAATAAATGTCAAAATGTATCGTGCTATAAAAATCTACCATTTTTGCCTCATTATAAAAAATATTGTGCTTATTATAGAAAAAGTAGAGAATCCTTAGGAAAAAGGGCATTTAAAAATATATAACTATCAATATAATTAACATTCTGATGCATTTCACAGATCTTAGCTCTTTTTTTGGTGGGTACACATTCCAGTGATTGGAGAGAAATGGGACAGGGGAGAAGGACTAAGATAGGGGAGAGAGGAAGAGAAGAGGAGGAAGGAATGGGGAGGAGGGTTGAAGTAGAGAAAGTGGGGAGGGAGAGGGAGGGTACCAGAGTGAGGAGGGGGTTGGAAGGAGAAGAGAGTGGGAGGGAGGAGGAAAGGAAAGGGGATAGAAGGAAGGGAGAGGGGAGGAGGGAAGGGAGGAGGGTGAGTGGAAAGGAAGGGAGGAGGGTGAGGAGTGGAAAGGATGGGAGGAGGTAGGGATGGAGAAGAGGGGAGATAGGCAGGAGTGCCTCACCCAGAAAGGACATCCATATAAGTTGTTGTCTTCACTTCCAGGAGTAGGATGGGTAAATGACCCAGGCCCACCTTCCACCGTGACTTGGGAAGAGGTCTCATTCCCATATGTGGTTTATTTTTCCTTATAGGTGACATTATGCTTTCACCAATTCTGCACCATGTGGTTGGTTACAGAGTAGTTTGATCCGGAGATTTTGGGTTGAATTTATTGTGAGGAGGAAGCCCCTTAAACTCACTTTACCAAAGAGCTTTGTACTGGGCACAAAGTCACAAGTACAACAAATAATATCTTATTTCACATCTGCCATTTCCCCAACTGCATATACTTTCCTCCAGGACCTTACAGGTAAGAGCTGTGGCAAGAGGAAGACAGGATTTGGGAATTTCTGGGTCACTAGGCATAAAATTACCTACTAGTCTTCTCAGATCCCACAATATATATAGTTTAGTATCTTGCATTTATCCCTGCTTAACAATAGTCACCCCCTGTCTATAAATGTAAAAATATTCCAACCTATGAGATAGATATTTAACCAATCATGCATGTTTGGATATTTAGGTTACAATTTATACAAAATCAGAAAGTAAATTATTGCTTTTAGCAATAGCAGTCATATTCTGAGAGTCACATTTTTGTAGTTCTGAGATTTTTGCAACCATCAAGGAGGGGTGTGGCAGCAGATTTACTTATAAGTCTGTGCAGAATCGAAGACTATAATAAATAGCATGTACCTGGCTCACTGATGCAGAGGTTCTCAAATGGAATATATACTGTGCTTGCCAGACATCACAGACAGTAGAGCCCTTAAAACTTCTACATGGAATGCAACATCCTTATTGCATCTTAGAACACTTGCCGAAGTAGTTAGCCCCTTCCTGCTCTGTATTTTCCAATGTTAAAGGAATGCATGTCATTATAGAATATTTGCAAAATAGAAAGAGAAGTGCAGATAATAACAATTATTCAGAAGCATACTACAGAAAGATATGCCCTGTATGTATAATAGATTGGTGTATTTTCTCCCAGTCCATCACTTTGATTAGGTTTTATCACAGCTTCTTGTCTCAAGTCAAGTTGAGTGGGTGTAAGAAGCTAATTCGAAAGACAACTTATTTATTTATTTTTTTAACATCTTTATTGGAGTATAATTGCTTTACAATGGTGGGTTAGTTTCTGCTGTATAACAAAGTGAATCAGCTATATACATATATCCCCATATCTCCTCCCTCTTGCGTCTTCCTCCCACCCTCCCTATCCCACCCCTCTAGGTGGTCACAAAGCACCGAGCTGATGTCCCTGTGCTGTGCAGCTGCTTCCCCCTAGCTATCTATTTTACATTTGGTAGTGTGTACATTACAATGCCACTCTCTCACTTCGTCCCAGTTTACCTGTATTGGTATTTTTGCCTTTTCAGGTTAAGTCTGATGGGGGTAGGGGTGGGGAACAGGCTGGTGTCATGGATTTTTGAATCAGTAAAAGCTAGTATTCCGGAAATGCAAACGGTGGGTGGTGGGTGCTTCAGCCACCTAGGCTAAGTCAAAGGTGAAAAGAGCCGGGAAACCCGATGGGCTTGCACGTTCGTTGGGCTGCAGGTTTGTCCATCACACTCGCTCAGCCAATGAATGATGCCAGAAAGAAGAGCTGGGTGGGAACGAAGCTCCTGGGCTGGGTGCATGGGCGTGAGAAGAGTCTTACGGGGCCTTCCTCGGTGCCTTCTAATCGGCGAGCTGTTTCCTTTGGCTGTGATTCAAGGCTGAGGTCAGCCGTTCCCTTCTCTGACCCGAGCCCGACCGAAGAGGTCGTCACCTCCTCCGCGCTGCAGTCGTCCCCGCCTTCTCCTTTGTGATTTTTTGCGATCCTGAATTGGGCACTGAGCGTCCAGGGTCTTCACTCTAAAAGTTTGTTCTTTTCCTGTAAGGTGGCAAACTCAGGTAAGAAGGGGTTTTCCTAAGCAGCAGCAGAGACTGCTGAAGAGGTCAGGAAAGAAACTTGAGCTAAGTGAAGAAAGGGACCACATGGATAGTCAAATGATGCCAATGCCCCATTCTGACGGGGTCTAACGATACAGGTGTCCTTGCCCTCAAAAGGCTTCAGGGGTCAAGTGATAAGATAGAAGCTGAATTTGAAAAGGAATTGCACGCTCTTGTAAAAAGGATAAATCCTCACTTGATTAGAGTTCGTGCCCACCAGTGTAAGGATTAGGACAACCTGCAGTATAATAACTTCAACACACTTATGCATTACTTCAAATTTTATGTTTTGTGTTTTTTGTGGAGTATATCTTTTAAATTTAAAAATGAAATATTTAAGTATTAAAACACATGGCATTTAGAAATATACTTCTTTTCAAGAGATCTGGAACACAACACATTCTCTAAAGCCTCTATGTAGTTTAGTCCTTATGATGTCCTTTTATCATATAGCTTTTAGAGAGTAACTGGTAAAATTATCAGAACTCTTCACTGAAGCTAATATTTACTTGGGAAAAAAGTACTTTAAAGAGACAATTCACGTGTGTTTTGTCTCACCTCAGAGGTAGGAAGGGTTTAAACCAACCTGGACCAGGTGTACCTTATTGCTGTGCTATAAATTATTTATTGTGCTATGGTACATTACAAAATTTTATCATTTGCATAAAGTAGCATAGAGTTAAGAATTTTTAATAACATTAATATCAAGTCTCCTAGATTACTTATGTTTTTGAATTTTGCGTGACAGCGGGATTTATAAAAACAATGGAGCTGTTATTTCCTTCTGTGTTGCTAATAGACATTAGTGTTTGCAAGTGGTCTTCTCAACTTCTACTCATAAGTTATGTAAACTAAGGGGATTAAGTATATTTTCTTTGCAGTATATGTCACTGAAAGTTATCACTTTATTATTTTATTACATCTTTTGATTATAAAATATGTTCATTATAGAAAATTTGGAAAATATACTGAAAAGTATAAAAATTATTTTAAACAATTCTACCTTCAAAGATAACCACATTTCATATGAAAAGAAAATGTCTATATCTATCTTTATTAACATAACTACTATTCTACTCCTTTCACTTTTCACTTAATATATTTTGGAACCCTTTCTATATCAGTGCATGTAAACTTCATTCTGTTTAACATAATATACCATAATGTATTTCATCAGTTTCTTACGGGAATTTAGGTTAGGAGCATCTTTTTCCAACTGATTGGTAATTGTAACCACCGTCTATGAATTAAGGAAAAATGTTGCATATAGTGAAATATTTTACCTTTGGATTTTGTTCAGTTGTTTTTTCTTTATTTCCTGCAGAAGTGTTTTAATGTTAATAAAGTCACATTTATCTTTTTTTTACCCCCATTACAGATTTTGGGTATTTAGTTTAGAAAGACCTTTCCACACCAAGATCTTTTTTTTTTTTTTTTTTTGGAATTGCTCATATTTTCTTAGAGTACTCTTATAGTTTCATTTAAAGTTTTAATCTTTCTGGAATAAGTTTTATGTAAGGATTGAGGTAGCTATACCCCTTTTTTTTCTCTCAATACAACTAATCAATTGTTTTGACACCATTTATTGAATATTAAATATCCAATGTAATTAATTGCTGCCTTTATTATATAATCCATTCCCTTATGTGTTTGGGCCTATTTCTGGACTGTTCTGTTCAGAAGTGT